TAAAACTAATATATAGTAACATTTAACATTTAATGTGCAATATTTATATCTGCTATGGGAAAACAGTGTCCTGTGCACAAGGAATTTAACTAAAGGGCATCTAGAAGGATGTTGTGTCTCAGTTCAACATCTGAATGTTCATGATTTGATTTTGTTATTATTCAGTGATGTTCTCTTAACATCAGGATAACATTCTGATTTCTCTAAATCAACCAGAATGTTTCTGTGGTTAAGTTATATAGTTGCTTATTTGCATTCGTTGTCTAGCAAATGCCCCAGTATTCATTCACTCATGATTGAACTGACCAGAAATATAAGTCATAAATCTTTACCTGCTAAAGAAACTATTAATAGATTGAAACAGAACACAAATATAAACAAGGTTCATAATTTTAGGAAAGAAATCCAGTTCAAAATCCTGCACTATGGTTTTTGCAGTGATTAATGTACAACCATGATACAAAATTCTGTAATCTACAAAAATCTCATCCTTTATAAATAGAATAACTTGCTATGTACATAATACAGATATTTAATATTCTTTGTATTTGCTTGCTCTTCCAACGATCAGATAAGTACTGATAGCAGTGCAACAAATAATTTGAATAGGAAAAAAAGAAATGCTGTATGTCAGAGTTATGTGAATAAAGCCAATGGCCATTCCTCCGATCACCAAAGTTAAGCAACATTAGGCGTGGTTAGTACTTAGATGAGTGACCGCTTGGGAAGTATGTTAAACAGTCATGATACACCAGAGAGGGGGCATTCTCACTCGTTCTACTGGATAAAGAAAAAGTAAGCTGTTTCTTTATATACTGCACAAAATCTCTGGATTTCATGCTTTTGCCATAGTGATAGTTTTAAGTATATACAGAAAATATAAATTTAAGATATTCTGTACATATGTTAGAAATCTTATCATAATACTACATTTTACATATGGGGCCATAATTATTTTTGATTTATCACAAAACAGTTGATAGAATAAGATTAAGGGATAGCATAGCCACCTTTATTTTAGTAGACAAAAGAAAACTTCCACTGATAATTTATAGGCACATTTGCATTGTTTATAAGAAAAAACATGTTGAAATTAGGAAATAAAATTGATATTCTGCATTGTGCCTGTTTCAGAAATTAGTTCACATTTCTCAAAGGTGTTATTGGACTCAACTTGTGATTCTAGTGTTAAACAAACCTGTTTCTGTGAGAAACACCCATATGACTGCCATTTTACAAGTTGAGAGAGTCTGAAGCACATGGTATCCAGATAGAATGGCCCTGTTTCATTCAGATTCTTTGGTCATTCAAATGCTAAAAGTGGCGTACAGACACAAAGACTGATATGACCATTTTACAAGTCACTTTCTTTCTTGTGAAAGGTCAAGTCTCCTAGAAATCTTAGGTTTGCAAAAACATAATTCTTAAATATTTGAGGCAAACAGTTTGTTGGAACAATACTTTTCTAAATTTAGTCATATTTATTTAAATTCTTTTTATATTGAATCCCAAACTTTCATATTCATATACTCGTATTTGCCTGTCTTCCACCAAAGAACATGATGAATGAATGAATGTATGAGGGGCAAACCTTCTCGGCCCTTGAGCCACGACCTACAGTGCTTAAGAACATGATAGTATTATGGTTAGAAACTAAATTATTTTCAATTCTAAGGAAATCATTAAGATAAATAAGAAATAGAAAAGTCTGGTCAAGAATAATTTGCATTTTCAATACAATATAAAATTCCCATCCCTTGTAACTATGCTTACTGTATTGTTTCCACACAAGTTACAAGGTGTGTAAAAATGACGTGAATTATTTTGTACCCTTCAAGCAAATAGGCCAAGTAACTGCACTTGGAGTTACTTCCTATTGTAAGCTGCTGTGCTGCAAGCAGAATACCCATATGTACCTGTAAAATATTCTTAGAATATAAATTTTAAGTTCTTTATGCATTTACTGAGTATTTCACCCATAAAATATGATTTATTGACATCAATCCAACTATTTGGACCTATCTTACATGTGAGCTGGAAAATTCCTGTGGGTCTAAACTTGTATGTAATTATGTATACTAGCTACACTTTTTCAAGATAGGTCATCTGCTGAAACATGTCAATCTAGCTGAAGAAACACCATCAGAATATTGTACAAAAAATATACCAAAGTTAATGTTGTTTATTCCTATAATATATATACATGATTGATCTCATTTCATATCAAGTGATAACCTGAATTATTTAAAGTGAAAATATAAACATAGTAACATCATGTCTTTGTACAAATCACAAGTCTCCCTCCTATTCCCAACAAATCAAATGAATGCATACTGTGCTTGATTCACATTCCTCATGTCTTAAAAGGGGAAAACAGATTTCCATTCACCCAAATTACCCACAACACTACTAGTCATTCCTTTGTGTTCCCAGAATGTCTTGGGACCTTTCTGCAAACAGCCCTAACTGTAATGCCAAAGCCCAAACTATCCTGATACCTATCAGCTCAAACTGTGAAAGCCAAAGATCTCTACTCATTGCCTAGCCAGAGCCTGGGATCAACAAAGTGTATGACAGGATTCCTCTTCCTGTCCTATGGCACTTCCTGACAGTCTATTTAAGTGCTGCCTCTGTGAACAGCTGCAAGACAACATCCCAGCTACCAGTCTGTATCGTTTCTTGTTCAATGCCAGTAGGTACCTGAACATTTTCTGTGAAACTCCTTCAACGAAAAGCTGTGACTGCCTCATATTAATGTAAAACAGCTGCATGTTCAGACTTAATATGTACATTCAGAACTGTATCTCTTTATCTACAAAGGAAATTCAATAAGTAAAGGAATTTATTTCTATTTTATTAAATTCACAAAAGCTAAATGTATAGCACCATTTTTTGACGTAGTTTCCACTTCCTCAACACTTATTACATAAGAACACCGGCATCTTTCATGTGCTGAAAATCTGCATTCATGTAATGATCTGTTAGCAGTCCAAAAAAGGTGATAAAAACATAGGAAGATGTTCAGATTATACAGTGGGAGAAGTTCTGATTCAAATTCTGACAAAAAATAAAATCACTCCACATTGCATGTTAATGGGCTGACCTGGAAGAGAGATGTTGGGTCAGGTTTTGACTAACATCTGTAATGATGGCTTAGTAACACTGGATATTGCTAAATCAGGTTGAAACCTATATGTTACATAAATAGGCATGTAACCTCTGTATAGTGCGTTCTAAGATAAGTTTTTAAATTTGGTAACACTGTCATTACAATTGGGTTCCATGTGAATGGCATTTACATGGCATTTGAGGTCCATAATACCACTTACCGCATTATAAATATTCATACACTCAATTAAATTTTAATTCTCCATATATGGTAAAACACAATGTTGTAAGAATGTACTGGCAGAAACCATTAACACAAGAAAACAGTATAGCTTAAAAATTTTTAATCTTCAAGATTTGATTACGTTGTACAATTATTACGTAGATACACATATTATTTCATAAACATGTAATTACTTGTTTCCTTTTATATTCCTCTTTCATTTTGTCTAATACATTTATCTGTTTCTATCCTTTCCAGAATCCAGACCATAATTCCAACCCTTCCAAAATGTGAGCAGTCAAAAGACACTGAGCCCAGTAAAGTCTACTCCACACTCTGAAAAATATTCACCTCCTGGTTCTTGTACACATCTTTCCTCACCTACAAATATAAACTGTGCAGATGCACCAGAATGTGGAAACAAATGGACTCTGGATGTACCACAACAGTTCGCACTATCACCTTATGAATTTCATCTGGATATATATATATATACAATGCCTTCAGAGTGGCCTCCATAGTCTAGGGGTAATGTTCCCACCCCATGACTCAAGGTACGCGTGTTCAAACCCAGCGGAGGTCGTGGAATTTTTAAGGGCGGAAAAATTCAGGGAACAAGTCCTCCGGGAGGGACTTTAAGCCGTGGGTCCCATGTCGCAGATTTACTGCACATAAAAGATCCTCATGTCTCTAGGAGACCTCTGAGCAAAAAAGTTAGGCAAAGTTTCCCACCCAAGTAGTTTCCAATGCCTCCGGTAGATGGGGAAGTATCGGGTACCACTGCCAACCTTGCTGGTTGAACGGGGCTGACAGCGAGCACCAGTACCAGCAGGGTATGATGACTGGTAGAATATCAAAGGGGCATTCAGGAAACTACTATTACATAAATCATTGAACATCAATTTCAAAGTTGTCCAAAATTTTATATATAAAAATTTTAAATTAAGCTAAAATGTGGTGAGTTAAAATATTAATAAAATTCTTAATATTTAAAATTTTAAACTGCTAGGGTTCACGTCTTCATGCCTCTTCTATCAACGGGAGATTGGGTAGACTGCCGCCCTTGAAGTCTGGGCGGTGTTCTTTCTTCTTTATGTAGCTGGTTAAGAGTCCACATTTGTTGTTGAGCTGCTTCTCCTTTCATTGTTTGTTGAGGGAATCTGCCCATCTCCCATTGATAGAAGGGGCAGGGGCATGAAGACACGAACCTTAGCGTTTTAAGAATTTTATTAATGCTTTAACTCACCACATTTTTGCTTAATTTAAAATCTTTATATATAAAACTTTGGAGAAATTTGAACTTGATGTATTGCGATTTGACCACCTCTGTGGTATAGTGGTCAGAGTTCCTGCCTACAGATCCAGAGGTCCTGGGTTCGATACCCGGCGCTACCAGATTTTCCAAGTACTGGGTCTGGAATGGGGTCCACTCAGCCTCGTGAGGATAACTGAGGAGCTATTTCAAGGTCTATTTCCGGTCTAGAAAACCGAGATTAACGGCTGTGGGGATCTGTTGTGCTGACCACATGACACCCTCTCCGCAAAAGCTGACACTAACTTCACCGACAACTTTGCTCACTCGGTATAGTTCGCTTGCAGACTACAGGCCATGGAGTTTTTACTTTCTGTACTATGATTTATGTAACAGCAGTTTCCTCAAGTGTTTTCATTTGCCTTCTGAAGATGGTCAATAATTAACTGAAACATGTAAAGGCATCATATATATACTTTAAGTCACACTGTACCGTGTAGTTTAATCATTCTATAGTACTGACTAGAGTGACGGACCAGAATTAATAAAGTTAATTTATTCGGATAGTTTACTTCCACAATCTGAATTTATGAATGAGGTCACCGCCTTCAAGTCTTTCTGTTCTGGAACGGTTTTAAAAAAGTTTTTGATAAAATTGAGTTAACAAATACATATTTGTTCAGCAACATGTTTTTAATTAATACATTAAAATGAACAACATTAATGTGTCTTTTTACATATAGTTTACTACATATAAAGGATTAATGAGGATGGTTCAAGGTTGATCTGGACTTTAATTTTTTCCAAAAGATGTCATCACTGGAATAAGAAAACTTTCTTCATGGCAGATGGCTGAAACACTGCTCTCACCTCTTGACAAATGACAGCCACACAGTGCAAAAATTAATGTGTATCATTAAAAGAGCTTTCATCATAATGCTGCAGGCTAACAAATTTGCAAAAATAGGTCTGGGAAACTGCAACAGATCATTGCACTGCATTATAATGTGTGCCCATATACAACAGATTTCACAGTGAAAACACTGGCAACTTTCAGCTGAGAAATCATGAACCACCCTCTTTGCAGTTCAGAGTTATCCCCATAGGTTTTTAATTCTTTTTACCACTGAAGGAACACCTAGGAGGAAAGATATTCAGTGAACACGATGAACTTAAACATGGTGTCCAGAATTGGCTATGTGGTCATGCTATGTCTATGCTGTTGGCATCAGTACCTTGTCATGGTGATTGCAAAAATGTACCACTGCAGTAAGGGTTACAGTTAAGAGTTCCAGTTTGGTGATTCTGATAGATACGAAGTTTTTATTTTGTAAAAAATTACAATCCACGTCAATCTTGAACCACTGTCAATAAAAAGTAAGAGCATCCATAAAATTTGCATGTCTAACCACCTTGTTGCAAATTCACTTTCAAAGTGTAGTTTAAATATATTCTGCGTCATGGGTTGCCAGCCTTTCTGTAGGTGACAGGGGACTAGAACTTTATACCATACTTACTTCAAAGGAAGAAAACTCTGAATATGAGATGACACCCATCCCACCATACCTAAGAAACATGCCTGCACATAAAATGTGATTTTATGCATTAACTCCATACAGATATCACAATGTAAAACGTAAAAAGATACCAGATATTTTAAAACATATTCTACACTAAGCCAATTTATTCTTTCTGACGTTCCCAGTCCTTGATGATCCCAACATTAGCACCTTTGCTGTAAGACCCTTTTGTGGGGAAGTGCACCTTCAGATCCATAGCCTTGGCAGCTCTTCAGGCTAACTCTTTGTAGCTCATGGCTAAAATGCTTACATGCATTGTAGCTCAGGAAAATCAACCTGCTAAAAGTCTACAACATTTAAAAACATCAATACATTTTTTGCACATAAATTCAAGATGACAATTTTGTAATTCTAAAATAGGGAGAAAGCACTGCCTTCCATTTGGGTTCATACAATTTATAGTGGGCACTATACGAATATAAGAACATTTTTAAAGTATCCAGAAGAGAGAAGAAATGTGGGAAAATCCACAGTGAAATGCTGGAGTATGCAGAGGATGGTTTATGAGAGCTGAAAGTGAAGAGATGGAGGCTGAAGGTAAATAACAGAGAACAGGCATCTGTCACAAAAATGGCCAAGGCTCCTAGAGGACCGCCTCATGGCTAAGGAGTATTACATGAACCTGCTAAGGGGGGGGGGGAATTTGAGTCTTAAGATCATATATCAATACTACCTAAGCTATGGCATGGCCCAAAATGACACTATTATTTATGTCTGAATCATTCAGTGGAAGCAATATCTGGTTATTTCTTCCACCAGCACGAAGTCATGGTAATTCAATGAAGGGCAAATACAGTCATCAAGAAGTGAGTCTTAAATTCTTTAATTTTTATTTTCATCTTTAATATGATTCATACTTGGAGATAGTGACTCACTGAGCTAAGCTGATTAATACATACAAAAAGAAACAGTTTATCCTCAATGCAACCCCTTACAGAATGGAGTATTTATTTCTGGTGATAACATTCCACAATCTGAACATTAAATCTGCTTGAAACTGAAAAAAATTCACTTCATAATTTGAAAATCATGTTCTGAGATCATCAACAAACAGTTCATAAATTACAAACATTTTTAAACTCACATGTATCAAACTTCTTTGTCAGAACCAAGATGCCCACAAGTATACAGTTAGATGGTTGGCAATCAGCGATATAGGCATTAATGCTTCCGCAAAATGCAATGTGGGCCTAATAATGTATTTACCCAGATAGGAGTCAATTCTGAACCCAAGGAAACTGCCAATTATAAACCATGTCAGAGACTAAAATGTTATTTTATATATTAATTTCCTACATTTCATAGAAGCATATATGTGAACAACAATAAATATTGGAAAATGTGTTATACATCGCATTTGCTCAGCCAATTTCTTCTTCCCACATCCATTGGCTTCACCATCCTCATCATTCATGCTGCGATGTAACTTTGCAAAGAACTGGTGCGCTCAATTCACAGCTTTGGCAATACTCAGCCAGACTCGTGACAGATTGTGGCTCCTGACACTGAAACATACTTCTGACTCCATTGTACCACTTTTGGTGGCACTTCACACAAACTTGTTAACTCACAGCTCCTGATCTTGAAAGAATATGGTGTTTATCTTCCTCTCTCTCTCGCACTCTTCCTCCCCGCTACACACACACACACACACACACACACACTTACATATCTATCTTGCTATGCTCACAGCATGATACAGCACAAATGTTATACTACACCTTAAAACATCAACATGATAGAAGCCTAACACTTTTCATCCATTTCAGTAAATATGGTATTATCAAAGACAGAACTAGAAGGACATGTTGATGATGATGATAATTTAGACAACAAAATGTACAGTAGTTTCAAATGTTGTACGAATACTATTTTAGTCCCTCTTTTGTGTGAGATTTGAGGTACTGACTGCAAAGACTGCTGTCTTCTGGGAGGTAATGCTGTGTCTTCTCCATTTGCATTTGCAAACATTGCAGACATCCCCCCCCTTTTTTTAAATAAATACATTCAAAAAATGTTTTTGTTAAGTAGGTTTATACCCTGGATACCATTCATGAGAAAAATAAATAAATAAAATGCTCATACTGTCATAACCACCTTCCCTACTGCAACTTCTTCTAGAGCCTTGATGACCTCCAGAGCACCATCAAATGATACAGTGTGGTGGATGTTGGGGCTTCATGAAACAGAAAAATACAGTGCATTATAATGCAGGTTATCTTACGTATATTATCTCAGAGCATAAAGTAGCCCAGAAGATAACAGCATGAAATGAGATCTGAGACTCTCATGGTGGTGAATATCAAGATCACAACCTTCTGGGATATGACACCGTACTTTGATGGAAAGATACGAACATTCTGGGGGAACCTGCTGACTCCATCTTCAAGTGGAGTACCCAGAATCTCACACCCCAGAAGACAGTGACCTACATATTCAGTGGATGTTTGAAAACTGGATCAACAAGTTGAAGTATGCCTTCATTGTGATGACTGTCACTCTGAATATGTCTAAAAGCACTTAAAGTATAGGATTTAGGACCACTATAGGTTACTTTGTATTTCAGACTACTTTATGCTCGGTCACACTGTATGCTACATATTACTACAACTATTCTCAATGTTTTGTATCTTGCGAACAAACATCCATTTTGTGTAAAAAAAAAAAAAAGTCGAACTTCCATTTTGGTACTGACATTCTGGAATTACAATTTCATTGAATATGCAGAACATGAACTGGAAAAGTTCTGAAAAGAGTCTGTTACAATAAACATATAACAATATACTAGAGGCAAAGGTCAACGGGATACCGAGTGACAACATTATAGTTTTATGCTGCTATCTTCTGGTTCTGTTCAGAATTAATTGAGATTACTGTTGCATTCAGTTGTCACGAAAACGATAAACACTGGCCTGCTTAGACTAATAAATAATATATGGAATGAGTGTTTGAATCATAAAATTTTATCTGACAATTTAATAATAAATGCTATGTGGTAATTCTTAGTCACATAATACATGGAACTACAGAGGGCAGATGGTGTGAGCATGAAGACTTACTGAGTACAGAGAACTGAGATAAAAAATGACCTTACATCAACTCATATGGTGACCACTAGACCACAGATGTGGTCATCACCCATATGAATTTAATTTTGAATTGTTACTGCTCTTCCCAGTTACTGAAATCTGTAACATTTTCAGAAAACTGTTAGCTACTTTTACATTATGATTTCACAACGAATTCTGGTAAAGAGACATGAATTTCAACCCGTTTTCTCTACCATTGACTTCTGGCACTCTCCTCATTAGTATCTAACACAGCTTCTGCGTTTTCCTTGATGAGATTTATCTTCTTGCCCAATAAACTAACAACATCAATGGAAACAACAAGCTGATGTGCCACATTCTGTTTATATATCTCCTGGTTTTCGTGGCCATTCCTAATGGGGCATCCTAAAGCAACAGTGAAAAGAACTGTGATGAAGAACTTTCTTTCAAACCATTCTGAACAGGAAATATATTAGATAAATGTTTATGTATATGAAGACTTAGGTACAGGTTTCACTAAAACATACTTCAATTAAACCAACATGCTTCATGGTTATATCAAATTATATATGCATGTTACACAACAATTCTTTTAACTGAATCACAGACATATAAGGGCTTCAAACAATAACAAATGGGTACATCATATCACATCCTCTGTGTATGAAAAAAAAAAAAAAAAAAATGAAATCTCACCGGATAGTTTTTGTAGCAACTTTTTCCATTATATCCATAAGTATATGCTGATACCTTCCCTGCTGAGCACTGGACAACATCCATGCGTGTTCAAAGAGAAATCCCAAGCTGGCACATCGCAAATACATGAGGCGGGAATTTGGAGGGTCCAGCTAGAAAACAGAAAGTTAGGACATGTAGGCATAGTGTAACGATTCTGGAATGCATGTTCCGATTGGTTCAATTACCACAAGAACCACAGAACTTGTGTAAGAAGTGCACGGGGCATGAAACGTGTAAAGTAAAGTAAAAGTAAAGGTATCCCTGTAAAAGGCCATGGAGGCACGTAGGGTTGTGAGACGTCGAAGGTCCCACATTTTCTAGACAATCGGCTCACAGATGGCAGTAAGGTTACGAGCCAGCCGCTCTTTAGCTCCCAGGAAAATTTCTGGTACTCATTTCTGTTAGGGGCTGACTCGACCCCTGGGCCACAGTGCGGCTGGAAGGATTAGGTAAATTGAAAAAAAAATCCAATGACCTCGTTGGGATTCGATCCTGCGACCTTCCGACTTGTAGCATAGTCCTTCGACCAACTATGCTACCACATGCCCCTGGCATGTATTTCATTCTTATAAGCCAAGTCAGAATTCAAGAAATGCTGCATAATGTTCCATGACCTGAGTTTTTATCCAGAACATTTTTCATTTTTTGACACCATTTTACCAATGTTCCCTGACACTTTCTCCAAATCACTGGCTATTTTTTTCACCAGAGTGAGCAAATCTTCTAGCATTGCTCCTTTCTCCTGTAAGCATTTGATTCCTTCCGTCAAGGAACTGAAATTTGCCTTTATGAAGGCCAGCTGTCCTTCCATTTCGATGCATGAGAACTATTCCTGAGCAGCTTCAATTGCCCTCACATCCTCCGTCTTCAGTGAATCTACAATATTTTTCACTACCTGAAAATGATCGCAATAGTAAACTGCTGCATCAGTCCACGTTCCCCACCTTGTGAGACGGGTTCTGGGGGCAGTGGAACACCAGGAGCCATAGACTTAAAATGCATTTTATGAGCTGGAGCCTTGACGAAAATCTTCTTCATTCTCGACACGAGAGCATCCACTTGAGGCAATCTTGATCTCATTTCCTCCATCACTCTATGCAGTGCATGAGCTAGGCAAGTAACGTGCACCAATTTCGTATAAAACGTCTTTATTGACTTGCCTGCTTTTACAATATATGGGGATGCATCAGTCACAAAAAGCAAGACGTCGTCGTGTCGTATACCCTCTGGCCACAGTAGAAACATCGACCTGTCGAAGAGTTTACAAACTGTGGAATGATTAACGGATTCTAGCACCTCACTCGTAAGCAGAAACACTTCACCTGGTCCACCAATTTCCAAGGTTCCAATGATGACGTTTGCCACGTAGCGAGCCTCCGTATTGCAGGTCTCATCAATAGAAACGAAAATCTTCATCGCATGCACTTTATTCCTAATCATTTCCAGGATATTGTTATAGCACTTGGAAAGGTAGTTCTTCCTGAGTATGGATTCATCTGGGATGGAACAACCGCAGTTTACTTCCAGAAAATTTTTCAGTTTTCCATTGTTCAGAGCCAAAAACGGAATATCTGTAGATGCCAGAGCATCACACAGATCTCTGAAAAGATCCGATGACTTATTTCCACTTCCAGATGAACACTGTTGCAGTAACATTTGAACAGGCTTCGTTTTGTTCGAAATTTGCACTGCTCGTATATGCTTCTTGCACCATAAATTTTTTCTGCCACTACTTTTGTCACACATCTTGCAGTATAAAATGTCACCATCAGTTGAAAATGTGTCATCTCCAAACTCAGCTACAAATTGCTTTAAATGACACGATTTAGTTGGCTTTGCTTTTGGCACTGCGATAAAATTAATCACTCTAGCACAACACAGAACTGAACTTTTCTCACCAAGAACCTTTCGTCAACTGTATCTTTATCTGTATGGTCAAGGGCGAGGAACCAAAGACAGAAGGAGTTTTATTGAACAACAATGTCATATGAAGCAAGAGATTCCAACTAGAAATATGTGTAACTGAGCAAATTGCTTTGTACAAAGAGCTGCAGTGTGAGTAGTCATCAACGTACCGTTTTATGATATGTATTGTCAGCACTTCCGCGAAACGAACGGAAAGGACAGGCCAGGATTACAACCTATTATTGTATACTATGGCCTTTGTAGAGCGCTTAGGAGAAAGAGAAAGAACACTTTTCATCCATATGCATTCAAGGACTTTTTTAACAGAATACACCAATAGTTTTTTTTTTACTTTCAACCAGTTGAGTCTTCTTCCAATAAACTGAGAGATACAGGGCCCTGGGGACGATACATGTGTGGATACTGAATTTTGTAAACTAACTGAATGGAGTTGAGTACTTCATGAGAAGCTAACAGTTGCTGAGCACTCAAGAAATCCCCCACAATTAGAGCACTCAAGGGTTCATTAGTACCTTCAAAAGAGCCATCCACTGGTTCCAGGTTTAACATTTTGTACCATGATGGCTTTTTACAGTAGTTGTTAGCCCCCCCCAACAAAATACAATCTTGAAGTCCACCCACTGCCAGATGTCTGTTTATTCAATATGCTCGAAGAATGTTTAAATAAGAATAATTTCATCGAAATATGATCACAGAAAGATAATTTGTGCATTCATTTCTTCTCTGCTGCATCACTTACTACACGAATACCAGACCTAATACTTGACATTTATATAAAATTAAATTAATATATATATATTTGGCGATACCCACCTGCAAATTGGCCTTCGATGTGACCCACCTGCCCCCAACAGCTAAACACGAAATTATATCGTGTTTTGAGGGCAACAGATTGCGAGAGTTTTCTAATCTGTTATCATCATAAATACTGGAGCTCTGTAAAGAATAAAGTACGCATACACTCATTATCTCCACGGACTGCAGCCCTTGCTGAGAAACCATAACATGAGTCACTTGCCTAGTCAAGAAATGTTCAAATGTTCATTACAATCTTCAAAAGAGCCCATAATCAGTCACCATCTAATCCACACACTCACATCCTATTCCTCTAAGATCCATTTTAATATCATCCTACAATCTAAACCATAGTTTTCTAACCAGTTTCTTCTTTCAGGGTTTACAATTAAAATTTCACATCCAGTTCTCATTTCTTACATGCATGCTACATACACCATCCACCTTATTCTCCTTTATTGAATCTTAATAGTAGTCCAGCTCATTGCTATACCAACTGTGATACCACAGGAGGTTTTAAATTATGCCACTGTACCTGTGGGTACTGAGCTACACCCTGATCCACAATAATGTCCACTCCAAGATTTCCGGTCTCCAGCATTGCTACAGATTTTAGTGATAAATTCTTCTGGTTCAATTCAATTATATGAGCAAGTTCTGCTTCCATGATCTGAAGGTAACGTTTTTCATCATCTGAAGAGGAAGTTGTTAACACTTTGGCTCCCCAGTGATGTGCTAATTGTATGCAGATGCTACCAAAAGAAGATGCACCATCCAGCACGATCACTGAAAAAGAAGCATACGTATCTCTGCAGTCACCCTACGTACAATTCAGTATTTGAAATCAATGACAGCTGACAAAGGATATGAAACTGTTAGGCCAGAAAATTGTTAACGGGTCAAAGCATGGGACAGAAACTTCTTGCATACAGTCCTATCATGTGAAGTGTAAAAACTTCAGAAACTATGAAATTCATATCATCAACAGAATGGTCTACAACAACTCCAGTATTTCCAAACAGAAATGTACTTCTGTATACCACATTTTTACCAGCAGAAAAATATCTTTCCTTGTACTACCCAGAAGCTTCAAATCTCGTGGGTTCAGACTTCTCATAAGAAAAACTGCAACCTCACCCGTGTCACCCGAACTAAGCCTTCCCAGGTAATGCAGAGCTGTGTATGCTTTCACAGAATCTCCTATACACCCTGCAGCATCCACAAAACTCACTCCGCTTGGCTTTATAACTGCAAAACAGACAAATTATATGAACTATCTGTAAGACACACAAACATACAGAATATTAACAAAGAACACTGGAGTATTACATTGTTCTAGTACTCACCTACATCAAATTCTTGAAGCACGACATAGTCTGCACATCCAGACTGTCCATAGTCAAGAGGAATGATTCCTACATCAGAGAAGAACACATGAACTGAGCAAGCAGTCTAACAATTTGCAAGGAAATGCTAAAGTTGTCCCTGTGCTTAACTAACTAAACATTATGCCATGGAGACATATGGGGAAGAGGAGGTGTAGCTCCATCACTCTTCATTCTGTCACTAAATGGAGGTGAGTAAAAATATGTAAGAGGTACATAAACTGTAATTCTGAAGGATAATCAACATCTTTTGTTAGTCACAGTAGCCGAGCGGTCTAAGGCATGTACTGTCACTCACTTAGAAGCCGGGATCGTGGGTTCGAATCCCACACAAGGCATGGTTGTTTGGTATGTGTATGTGTTTATTTTGTGCTTTTAGGTAGAGACCTTGTGATGACCTGATCACCCATCCAAGGAGTCCTACCGTCTGTAAAATGATGATGAAACTGAGAAATCAGCCCTATGCTGCAAAGTGGGAGCAAGAGGAGAGAGGGAAATAGTTAATAATTTTACTCGGAACACTTTTCAGTACAGGATCTGAAGTCCTCATGGCAGCGACTATGAAAATTAATGTCTTGTGGGATGGCACTAACTTTGCCGATAAGCGGCAGTCGCTCAGTCGGTATAGTTCGCTTGCAGACTTTTTTTTTGTGGGATACAAAGCCGTGTAATATGTAGTATGATAAATGGGGGGGGGAGGTTGAAAAGTAGAGGAGAAAAAGATACACCAAATAAATAGGGTGTGGAGGAAGAAGGCCCTAAACACTGATAGGTATTGATCCAAAGAGTATAGAAGGAAAATAAAGAAGCAGAAAATTAGATAAACAGAAGATATGAAGAACAAATTAGCTAAACGGAACATAGGAAGAGGTCATATATATGGCAAGACAAGTAACATAGATCATTATGTCATCATTAGAAAATGACTGCATTCTCTTTACAGCATCCGACAGGAACCAAAACTGGCATATCTGAGATCTTGTTGAACTCAAATTAATCCTCTTCTGTAAAGTTGCCTCCTCAAGGTATGACACCCCAGTGACTAGCCAGCTTACTAAAACAGTCAGAATGACAGGATTTGCGTGTGGATGTAGGTTAAAATATCTCCACCATAGTCTTGTGAGGTGATGAAATGGAGAACCTGGAGCCTAGGGCCATAACTGGGTCATCCTGTCACTGGCGAACACATATACAGGGACCTGGTTCTCCAGGTTGGAGGGTTGGATGCAAGGCTGATGACCTTGCTCTGCAGAAAAATTACATTTATAAAATCCAATCCAAAGAAGTGAAAACCAGATGGTCGAATTCACGACGAAGCAGACAAGGCTCAAAAAGGGCTGTTTAGGTGGTGGCGATGATGATGATAATGATGATGAGGACAACAATGATGACAAGATTTGCCTGAAAAATCCAGGAGCTAAATTTGAATTTTGTAATCTGAAGATCACAACTTGAGATGGCATATATATAGCTTGGTAGCATCTGTAACTAGCATTCGGAGATCAAGGTTGTGTCTAGGACAGTTAGGTTCTAATGAACTGGCAACACCTACAAAACTATACAGTGTCATAACACAGAATACAACAATCTTAATTCTCGGCATCATAAGAACCTCAAACCTCAGTGGATAGAATGTTGCCAATTCCTGCTTACCCACAACATGGTCCCCTTTGGACAAAGTGGTAACATCCTCCCCTGTCTCGACCACAATTCCTGCCACATCATGTCCTGCACCTACATTTAAGTTCTTGTTGCCCTTTGACAAAATGTGACACAATGTTGTGGGTTCGACTCTGGAGACTGACAACCCACAGGCCTTCACTTGAATTAACACACCATTTCTACCCAATTCAGGAAATTCCACCTATAAACACATAAGACAACAGATCAGCATGACATCAAGATCAGATTTCTTCAATTGGACTCACAGCAAGAAAGTCTTTGTCTTTCATATAGAGATATAGCTTAAAACAGCAAGCCAATATGGTACACCCCAACACCAAAATGAATTAGTTTTGTTTCACCTAAAATTACAGTCTGTAAAAACTATTCGGCTCATCCCAAATGGAAATGGCCCAACTCCCATCATAAAAAGGCAAATCGCTCTGAAGTAGTAACCCAGTAATTTTCAATGTAAAATCAGTATTTTTCACTCCCTCTTCTTAAATCACATTATGATCTCTGAGGTGTATCCACATGTTCCCATCTCTTTACCCTGGTATGGGGGCACGCGGTGGCGTAATGGTTGAGGCACTATGCTACAAGCAGGAAGGTCATGGGTTCAATTCCTGATGAGGTGGATTTTTTCAGTTGACCTAATCCTTTCAGCCACACTATGGCCCTGGGGTCAACTCAGCATCTAACAGAAATGAGTACCAGCAATCTTCCTGGGGTGTAAAGGGCGGCCAGCTCATAAGGCTGTTAACCTCACCGCCATCTGTGAGCCGATTGTCTAGACGATCTGAGAGCCTCGACATCCCACAACCCTATGGGCCTTCATGGCCTTTTACAGCGATAGCTTTACCTTTTACCTTGGTGTGTGCGGGTATGTGTTTATTGAAATTATCTTGAAAACAGCTTCTACAAAGGTTTATCATTCTGTCTCAGAATTTTCTGGCAACATGGGCCCTCCACATTGAATTCAAAAAACGTATTTTTTAAATATCACCATACATTAATTACAGAAGTCCCTATACCTGCTGCCAACAGCGTATTTAATAGTTTCTTATCCAGTAATCGCTATCTTTTCCATCATAATTCATTTGAACACTACAATTTTTCTCATGTGGTATTTTCTCACGCTGGCGAAAAAGTTTACAGGCGTTCTTTTATGTTTTTAATAACAAAAAGTCAAACGATACATTTCTTATTCCTTCTCCCTCAAAATTTCGTTGTTGTCATTTATATGGTATTAAAATAAAGACAGCGACATGATTCTACTGCCAAAAAGGTCGGCTAAAAATAGGCTAAAACAACGCTTTCGTTTTTCTCCCCACTTATCATACCTGTTTTACATTTCACGACACGCAACCCCAACCCCCTGGCGGCCATGCTCCGCCCGCTCCGCCCTGTATGAGGTCAAGGCTAGGGTGTATTGATGATGAATACTGAACTGACTGGCGAGTGCAATTTATCTGCCTCCGGCTGAAAACCATGGACATAACAGACATAACGTTTATAACCCGCCACCCTAACTTACCGTTACTTTCAATTTTAACCGTCGACAACCTTCGAAGGCGCGAGGTACAACTACCGAAATGTCACTGTGCTTTCCGAGATCTCTCTCACACGAACAACGTTTACTAATTTACCAACAGTACTACGTCGCTTTCGGCAATTTCATACATTTTGTACATGCACAGCATATTATAGCATACCACATACTTACTTCACGTGATAACACCTGGCCAGAATTACATCCTTTGCCAAAATCCACAAAAATCGATTTTGCAGTGCGTCTTCGAGACATTTTGCACAGAATAATTCTCAGACACGTTCAAAAAACATACTACTATTGGCATGTCAACAAATACGAAAGATTAAATACCCAAATGCATTCACCATTATCACTATTACACCACTTTTACCGCGCAAGCCTCTCCATTCTACCATTACATGGTACGGTGACGACGGTGACAGTGGTGACGACAGTAACTGCAGGGAGCACGGATCAACCCTGGCAGAGAGCGCAGAGCGCGCAGAGAGCGCAGAGAGTATGGCTTATGACGTAAGCAGTGAGCGTCTCCAAGCGTGCGGTCTCCAACACAGTGCGCTATCTATATACAAATCTTCAAACTATATCTTCGTTAAGCCGCGATGGCTGAGGCAACGGCTAACTGCTGCGGTCTGGACGAACTGTTGTCTATTCACGATTGGGAAAGCGACTGTCTTGGACTATTGAAGGTACTATTCCCCCATTTGTTTGGAGAGACTAAGAGAAATCGCGAAAGGCCTCAGACAGGATACCAGCGTGACAGCCGAGATTCAAACCGAGCACCTCCCGAATAAAGTCACACCAACATGCTTGGTGATTCCTGGCAGCGGTGGTATGATTTTCCTCTTCATCATTACATGCAGAGAATAAACTTCCGAGTTCAATACTAACAGGGAACTTCTGAACCAGATGACTGACTATCAGCTTGTTAATTACGGCACTACTCCAGCTGCTGGGTTGGTTCTGTGAGAGGCGTTGCCCTAGTTAAGGAAAATCACATAATTTTACGATACACACACGAACACTCGGACCAGTGCCGGCAGCTCTCATACTCGTAGTTAATATCATAATGCTGGGTCTTAATTGTCTGGCTTTAATGGTGGCCCTGACTGCTGAGCAATTTAGGAGTAAGCTTTTAATTAAATCAAATGCTTGAAATATATATACAGGAGTTTTTTTTTCTTTCTTGCGCTAGTACAGGGAGGATTTTTACTTTGTTGATCGGTTCCACGGCTCTGCGCTTCACGGCTGCCGGTGCTCTGCTTCATGCGAGTAGCATAAGAATTTTGCCGATGACTCAGCCGATAACGTTCGGAATGAAGTGTTCTTATCTTTGTGTATTTGTGTATCCCTGCAAGAGAAACCACGTTTCATCAGAAAAGAATGCCAATTGCAGATCGATCTCACCTTAGACCACAGACTGTAGAAACCAACTGTAAAAACGAACCCTGCTAGCTGGATCGCGCGGCTGCAAGGCGCGGGTTTAATGTCGTTTAACGCCGGTCTTGCACTAGACTTTGACACTCCAGTCTCTTGAGCTAGACGTTTCGGTGATTTTCTAAGTGTATGTCACCTAACTTATCCTCAGTAAACACTCGGCACTTATGTTTTTGTTTCTTGTGTATTAAGAGAACAAACGGCTAATGGAGCTCATAACTGCTGTATACTGCTGACAAATCATAAACAAACTCCCACGCATGAATCGTACTGCTCGCCTTGAAACATAATGCCGTCAAGCGGTCCACATGTTACTTCCTTTCATTCCAAATCTTATCGGCCATTATGCATGCTGATTCATCCGCATAATTTGTATGCGCCTTGTAGCAAATGGCGCACCGGTCACCTTGAACCGGTCAACAAAATCTGTATATTAAAACGTTGCTCGCAAGGTCAGAGCACTGGACGTGTGCGGTTTCACTGATTTGACTGAACGATATCTTACATTTTCATTCAAATTTTCGGGCAATAAATTAAATGGCCTGCATCCCTCTTCACACATGTACCCACAGAAGTAACTTCAGTCTTTAACCCTTAAAACGTTGGCAAAAAATGAACTCAATACAAGACACTTAAGGAATTCATCGATGTGTCAGATTTGGGTTGCATAGTTTGAATGCGAAAATATGTAGATCTAACAGCAAATTAAATTGTGACTATGTTATTGTTCGCTGATTTCTTGAGATGATCGTTAACAACAAGGACTAGCCCCATTTTTGTTCCGTTCTGGCTTCATTAAATTTGTTCCCGTAGTTTCTTCCTAGCTGTTTAACTGCATGGCATAATCTCGAACCAGTTGAGACGGTGTCAGGCGTTCTCAGCATGTGATCTCTCCAGCCTGCTATGCTGTACACAACTCAATTGTTTCACAAATTCTACGGGCTTCAACTTTCAATCTTGATTTCTTTTCTTCGCTTCCAATTTAAAAGTGTGTCGCAAAACATGTCACTGTTATTTTGTCGGAAGGTAAACGGAATTGTCACTAATCTCTTCTGCGGCTGTGAGCGCCACGTCCTAGGTAATTAATGATTTTACTAGAACCAGAAATTCAACAGTTACAGCTATTCATAATTGTGAAATTAAGAAAAATTCTTCTTCAGAAAATAGAACCGCTTCTTATACTCTCGCACACGTCAACGTAAAAAATTCAAAGTTAAATGGTTTGTCGACTTTAGTAATACTGTTGAAAAATACGACAAAGGATATCTGTTTTTACTGCTTAAAGAATATCAAACACATTTGAAATATTCGTAGGTCACAACTTGACCTTGCTGATTCATTATTCACAACAAACTCAACATTCATGCGCACAAGAAAAACGTTGTGAGGCATATAAAGCGGAAGACGCAAACAAATGATTGGGAGAAAGCGCACAGCTTGATCTGTCAGTACATATGTACCCAGCAGCAAGAGACTGCACAGAAACTCAGAAATATCTTTTCGGTTTCTTCTGCATCGGCACCCTTCAGAAGGATTCATATATCACTTGGAATGTATCTATCATATTACGAACAGTCTGCTTTTTGTTTGGGAAAGTTCTCTGTTGAATTGCGTAGTACAATAAGGTTCCCAGGCACGAGGAGAAAGTTACGAGATTCCTCCGGTATCTTCTCCAATACAATCGTAATACTAATGTGAAATAAACAATTAGATATCCTTGGAGTAAACATTTACACCTATTTTTCCAAGACGTATGTGTAAAGTGTATAGAAAGAAACTCTTTTTTATTCTTTTTTTTTCTAATACTACAAAAATATTACTTTTTAGCATCACACTGAACCTCGCCGTGTGAACGGATTATAGGAATTTGAAGTTACGATAGGAGGTTATGCAATCCACTAACAGTATTTTATTGGTTTTATTCGTCATTTCCGTCTCATAAATTCGTAAGAATGCGAAAGGAAAGTTGTCCCTGTGTTTAATTGAGCGTCAAGGCACGAAGACGTACGGAGGTATAGCTCCACACACACACACACCAACACACACTGGCAACCGGAATACACGTAACCAATATACCACACAAAATGTACATCTCTGCTAAAACCAGAAAACAGAACGCAAGAAAGAAGAATATTATGACACACAGTACAATATTTAATATCATAAAAAAATAAAATAATAAAGAATTTAAATTTTAACAGGTGCCATATTGCTTTTCGCCACCCTCTGTGGGCCGATTGTCTATAGAAAATGTGGGAGCCTAGATGTCTCTACAACCCTATGGGCCTCCACGGCCTGTTACAAGGATAGCTTTAACTGTTTCTTTACCACACTGGTTTAAAAATAAACTTTTGGGACGTACAAGCCTCACGGGCTATATAATACAGTAGTACAGTATAACAATTTACGTGAATCATGATATATAGCTGATGTTGGTGCTGCATGGGCAAAGCATGTCACTGAATTTACACAAAAACATGGGCAAAGTGGTGAATCGAAAAACAACATATGAAGCTACAATGAAGACTGTATTGTTGATGTGCTCGTTTGTGTGCGTGTGTGTATATTAAGTTATCAAGGACACTAGTTAGCGCAGTCAGTATAACAATGGACTACGGGCTAGTTCTTCCGAGGGGTTGGAGTTCAAGTCCCGGTAAGGTCAGGAATTTTCACTACTCCACGTCGTCCAGACCGGCTCTGGGGCCCTCCCAGCCTCCTATCCAATTCGTATCGGCATCTCTTTCCTCGGGGGTAAAACCGCCGTGGCGTGAAGGTGACCACTCACCTCAAACTAGCGCCGAGGTCAAGAAAACGTGGATCTATACATCCACCCCCATACGCCTTCATGGCATAGTGCTTAATTAGTTAAGCACATAGATAACTTTACCTCTATCCACTGATCAATTAGTGCAGCATGATGTTTAAATATAGCTCCACAGTTTGTAACCTCCACAGTGGAAGGGGTGAGTCGCTAGATTCACCCTCCAACCGGTTTGAGGAACAGCCCCTGTATTCACCTGGTCGTCCTGACTGAGTTCTATCATACAAAAGTTTCAAGAATAGTAGGATAAGTCGGCGATCTGGGGCCGATACTTGTCGCATCTCATTGCGTGTTATGAAGATCCCTGGGCTTAGTTCATTTAGCATCAAGCCATAAAGTTGTGTGCGGGAATGGAGGTATGGATCCATCAATTATATCTCGGCGCTAGATGGAGTTGAGTAGTTAGCTTCACACCCCGTCCGCTTTAGCCGCCAGTACCCAGTGGACAAAAGGCTGAGTGAGAAGCAGGGCCGGTCTGGACGGTGTGGAGAAGAGAAAAATATCTTAACATTGCCAGGAGTTACAAGCCGAATCCACGGCTGTCCAACCGGTACCTGAGTCTATGAGCTACCCCGATTATTTATTGTGAAGTAAGTAAAAGTAAAAAGTAAAGCTATCCCTGTACCAGGCCGTGAAGGCCCATAGGGTTGTGAGACGTCGAGGCTCCCACATTATCTAGACAATCGGCTCACAGATGGCGTTAAGGTTGTCAACCTTACGCGCCGGCCGCGCTCTATTCCGCAGGAAAATTATTTAATTAATTCCTGGTACTCATTTCTGTTAGAGGCTGAGTGAACCCCAGGGCCATAGTGCGGCTGGAAAGATTAGGTCAATTGAAAAAAAAAACAATGACCTCATCGGGACTTAACCTGCGACCTCCCAGCTTGTAGCATAGCCCCTCAACCAACTAGAGTATTTCAAATTAACATTAGCGGCGATTAGTAAAAAATCCAGCCCAAGCCTTGATCTTGACCATTTTATTATTAAGTGGCTGTTAAAGGAATATAGTGTGAACATGTGGGAGTGATTCAGCTGGCTAGGGATAAGGTTCCGGGACTCGTGAGAGTATTATCTCAAGAGGGACTGCATTCTTCGAAGTTAATTCATGCGTGTACTGAGGCAAATCATGAAAATTCTCATTCCGGAATCCGAATTCTCGAACACTTTTTCTAAAATGTTCAAGACTTTCGTAATTAATGGATAAATTACTAACTAATTTATAATTATTGAATGTTTTTTCGCTCTTCTTGATATCTTCATCTTCTTTACTCCGAGGATTAATCATCAGCCTGTTCCGGCCTCATTTATGATTCACTCCATCTCTTCCCTTGTCTTCCAATGCGTCCTTTGTCTAGTATTTTATAAGTCACGGCTTGTTTATGAACATTGGTCCCATTCATGCTCCTCAAATATTACTTCGAATTATCTGTATTTTCTTCCATTTTCCGGGATCAGTAAGAAATTCCCCAATTTTGCCCTTACATCTGCACTCCTTATGTTACCCGTATTACTGCAGAGGTCTTAAAAATGTCATCTCACATATCCGTAGGATTATCCGGCCCTTAATCTGTACAGCACAAGAGAGAAGGTAAAGTTATCCTTGCGCTTAATTACCTAAGCACCAGTTCATGAAGATGTGTTGGGGAGAGGAGATGTAGCACCACCATTCTGCACCTCGGCAGTAATTGGAGGAAAGTGGTCAGCTTCACGCCTCTACTGCTTCATTCTTGGGGAAAGAGCCTCCGATATCCATAGGATAGGAGGTTGGATGGGCCTCAAAGCCGGTCTGGACGGTGGGGAGAATAGAAAAATCTCTTGTCCTTGCCGGGATTCGAACCTCTTCCGTTCAGCTCGTAACACGTCATTTTACCGACTGAGATGTTCCGAAGGCTCGCTGTCACATAATAACATCAGTCCCGCTATAATTTTATAAAACTTACAAATTATTTCTGTCCTGCCGTTCTTTCTAGCGTTATAGATAAGTTGCACATATGTTTTGAAGCTGTTGACTCTTCTGTTAGCAGCTCGATATCTAAAAGTGAAATTAGGTACAAAAAGAGAGGTACAATTCGGCCCGTAAGACAGTATAAACAGTTTTCCCCCTTCTCAGCCGAAACACTGACGTCTTGTCTTAACCCACTGCCCTACTACGACTGGGAGTTAATCAAGTGTGTCATATCAGATTCATAATGGTCTCGCAACACAGTTTTCTCATCACTAACAGACTCTTAAGCGTGTTCCGATCTTGCAAAGTCATTGCCACTTTCCGCCCCCACGTTCAGACTTGCTGATAAACAGTGACAAAGGTTGCTAATCGACAATTTTATTGAATTATTCATGAACTGTTGATGAGTCTCAAGATTTAAGACAATATTGACCAAAAAGACTTTGAAGAGCTACTCACAGTGACAATTAAAAAATGTAATATAACTTAGTGGACACCTCGAAACGTTTGGCTGCAAGGGTGTCCAGATGCTTAACCCACCTACGAGTAATATCTTCAAAAGAAGAGAATTCTGGGTAACTACCAAGGTCAGTCGCGGGAGAGCGCGCATGCTCAGAACTTGAACACAATTTTCGGATTACTATCACAGCTGTCATTACTACCTTGAAGTACAATATGTCTCTGAATCAACAGCAGAATGGAGAAGGTCGATAGTTCTGCCCGCTGCTTGCTTCGCCTGTCTTCGTCGGTCTGGGGTACGTACGAACTTTCACATTTGTTTCCTCAGTTACGTCAGTATATTCAATATTGTATTATTAGCAACTCCATAGCAAGACACAGCCTCCATTTTCGGACGGGGGAAAAGGGAAAATTTTACATGTACTTAACTAATTAAGGGTGAGCCGGGGTAGCTCAGTCGGTATAGCGACTGCCTACGGGCTGGACGACCGAGAGGTCAGAGTTCGAGTACCGGTAAGGTAAGAATGTTCTCTTCTCCATATCGTCAAGACCGGCTCTGAGGCCCACCAAGCCCACTATCCAATGCGTACCTGGGGATCTTTCCCGGCGGTAAAGCAGCAGGGGTGTGAAGCTGACCACTCACCTCCAACTAGTGCTGAGGTTAAGAAAATGTGGATCCATGCATCCACTCCTTCATACGCCTTCATGGCATAGTAATTAATCAGTTAAGCACAGAAATAACTTTACCTTTTTTTAACTAATTAAGCACTACTCCATGAAGTTGTATGGAGGAGTGGATGTATAAATCCATCTATTCTTCACCTCGGCACTAGATGGAAGTAAGTAGTCAGAATTACACCCCGGCCGTTTTACCACCGGAGAAAGAGTCCACAGTATTCATTGGATAGGAGGTTGGGTGAGGTCCAGAACCGGTCTGGACGACACGAAGATGAGAAAAATCTCGCCCCTACCGGGACTCGAAATCCGACCTCTCGATCGTCCAGCCCGTAGCCAGTTGCTATACCGACTGAGCTATCCCGGCTTCGTTTTGTCAAACCTTCACCCTAAAAAGTCATTTGACACAGAACTTTTGCAAAAACCTAGAAATTCTACGGGCTCTACCGAATGCTGGTATTATCGGTGTTGAACCCTCAAGTTAAGTTGTCACTGTGCTTAAATATGCTACATGCCATGAACAGTTATGTGGCGTGTGTGTATAGATCCACCAATTCTTAAATTCGGCGACTAGATGGAGGTAAGTGGTCAGCTTCATGCCCTGGCCGCCTTATTCTCTGCCACAGAGCCCTGGTATCTACAAGACAGGATGACAAAAGAATGCGGAGAAATCGGTGGAAAGAGAATTGGCAGGGGAAACCGAAAAACTCGGGGGGAAATCCCCATCCCAAAGTCATTTTGTCCACCACAAATCCCAGGCCGCAATGGTGGGAAGCCGCCGACTAACCGCCTGACTTAAGGCACGGAGTGTGTGTGTGTTCATAAATTTATATGTACGAGTATGTATATATGCAAGTTTGCGTGTACGTATGTATTTTTGTATGTACAGTACAGTATGTGTATAAGTAAGTTTGAATGTACGTATTAATATTTCAATATGATATATCCATATAGTGGGGCACTACACTACAAGCCGGAAGATCGCGGGTTCGAATCACGATGAGGTGGATTTTTTTTCACTTTATCTAATCATTCCAGCCGCACTGTGGTCCTAGGGTCGACTCAGCCTTTAACAGAAATGAGTACCAGGGTTCTTCCTGGGGATGAAGGGAGGCCGGGCGTAAGGCTGACAACCTCACCGCCATCTGTGAGCCGACTGTCTAGAAAATGTGGGAGCCTCGATGTCTCACAGCCATATGGTCCTCCATGGATTCTTGCCTAGGTATAATTTTGTATCCATTCAGTAATAAGCAGGGCCCGGATTTTGATGACATGTCATCTTTTTCTCCTTGTATCCTATGCGATGCTCTTAAATGTATAAATCTCAATATGAGCTGCTGGTTACAAAAAATGTCAATTTTATAGGTAATTTTTTGTCATTTTTTTATATTTTTAGGTTTATGGTCATTTTTTAATTTTTGGGGTAATTTTTTGTAAATTTTTGGACTTTTAAGGGTATTTCTTGTCATTTTTTTTACCATTTTAGGGAATTTTTCTTCATTCATTCATTCATTCATCAGTAATCTGTCAGACGACAGGTCCACAATCTCTTCCAAAACAGTTCCTCCACTTAATGCGATCTTCTGTTTTTGGAAAGAGACTATCCAGGAAAAGTGATAATGTGGTAGTTTTTCCATTTGCTTTCCACATCGCAGTACAGCAGCCGTTCAAACCACTCTGGTCACGCCTGTTGCTATACGAACTTGAACCATCTCGAGCATCATTTGTTCTGTGCTTCAAGTCGCTACTGATGACGCTGCTTCCGGCATCAGTTTTTGGTTTTTGGTTTTTGGTGTCTCTCTTCGTCTGATGCCTACCCTTTGACCTGTCCAGCAAGGGAGGCCCTGCCAGTAGCTACGCTACCGCTGGTATAGCCCTCAGGGCTGAAATGTGAATAACATGGAAGCGTAGTGTTCTTTCTTTTTTCCTTTAGGTCATTTTTCTGGATTTCTTCGGTCATTTTTTAAATATTTTCAGGTCATCAAAATCCGGGCCCTGATAATATGATAGAGTTTCAGACTGTGTCTCTTATGCTGTCCTCACTTACGGAAGCAGGTAATTTTCGTGTGCATACATGGCAGCAGAATATTCGAAACTATACCGAACATCTCATCATCAGATTCAAGGCATGGGTCCGTTTCGGCTCAACTCTTTTCCCACATTTTCCTAGGCCTTTCCGTTGGTCTATAGTCTAGGATGCACTTCGATCATACTTCTACATATGAGTACATTCAAATTGTTACGATGCTGCATGAGATGATGGTAACACGGTACGCAGGTAAGGGGCTGCAGTTGAAAATTACAGATGATATTAATGTTGTCGGTACGTGGATCTGACAACAATAGTCTCTCTATCATCATGTATCGTCGGTCTAAGCCAGTTTAAAAGAGTTTATAATGCTTAAATCTGGCAAGGTAAGGTAAAGCTATCCCTTTAAGAGGCCGTGGAGGCCCATAGGGTTGTGAGGCGTCGAAGTTCCCACATTTTCACTAGATAATCCGCTCACAGATGGCGCTGATGTCAGCCTTACGCCCTGGCCTCCCTTTACCCCCCCCCCCAGGAAGATTCCTGGTACTCATTTCTGTTAGAGGCTGAGTCGACCTCAGGGACATAGTGCGGCTGGAAGGATTAGGTAAATTGAAAAAATCCACTTCATCGGGACTCGATCCCGCAGCCTTCCGGTTTGTAGCATAGTGCCTCAACCAACTACGCTACCAACTGACCTTTTTGAATTTTTCAGCCATTAGTCACCGTTCATCAGAATTAATTTTCGAAGTAATGTTCTTTAATTTTCTTACAACGAAAAGAAATTATTCGTGAACAAGTTCTTACCCTATCAGTTATACCAATATCTGTATCCCCGCAAATTTACGTGCATAAAACTTTCACAGCAACAGAACAGGCCTACCAATGCATAAGATCCTTGCCGTCGTCTGCCAATAACTTCCCATGGTTTTACTTTTGTTTTTGTGCAGACTCATCGCCGGCTACCACTCTTGTCTGCAGTCCATTGTGCTTCGACTTTCCCCGATTTCTTACCTGCAGTCCTTGGCGCCGTGCGGACTCCTACAGTTTTGTACCGTTCTGACTTACAGCTGGTATATAAGCTGAAGTGTGGCACGGTTCAGAGGATACCATTGTTGACTAGCCGTTTAACTTCATACAGTAATGTGAGGTGCTGAACTTGTGATTACTGGTCGTGTGATTGGCTGCTGTCAAGATTAACGTTATTTATTCATAATACTATCCTCTTTCAGACAATGAAGATTATATTAGCATTGGTATGTATTAAAATACTGTACTACTTGCAATTAAATAATTTCGAACAGAAATACAGAACATACTGGTCTCGAGAAAATATTCTGAATTTGTATTCGAGAGGTGTTTGGTTCGTATCTCGGCCGAAACACCAGCTATTCTGAGTGCGGAATTTTTGGTGATTTTCCTCAGTCCCGCCAAGAAAATTCTAGGAAAATGACTGAATTTTGTAAAGAAAGTTTCGTTCCAGGTTCTTTGGAATGTATTATTTATCAGTAATTCTACTATCACAAACTTTGTACTTTAGATATTAAAAGCGTCGTAAGATGCTATTTGATAGAAAGTTCTAATGGCAGCATTGGGTTGTAAATTTTGGTATAGATATTTCAGGAGTTATTAAGAACTTCAACCACTAGACGAGTGGGGCATGCGGAAGCGTAGTTGGTTGAGGCACTATGCTACAAGCCGGAAGGTTCGTGTCCTGATGAGGTCATTGGAATTTGTTCAATTGACCTAACTGGGGGTCGACTCAACCTCTAACAGAAATGAGTACCAGGAATTAATTAAATAATTTTCCTGGGGAGTAAAACGCGGCCGGTGCGTAAGGTTGACAACCTTACCGCCATCTTTGAGCCGATTGTCTAAATAATGTGGGAGCCTCGATGTCTCACAACCCTATGGGCTTTCACGGCCTGTTACAGGGATAGCTTTCCTTTTTAATTTACTTGCCGCTAGACGAGTAAGAACAATCTTAGAACATAGTTTAGTTGGAAAATTCTGATAACGTTCTAATAATGCAATAAAACTTAAATCAGCTTACATATGATATTTGTATGAAGGCTGTTGAAAACAGTGACTGCACTGAAAAATTCATGAAAGCCGTTATTCTTCAATGGAAGAATCCAATAGTACGAATTTCTGAGTTGTAACGAAATGTAGTTCTGTAGAATTCCACCGACGTTTCGTAAGAATGTCCGTATATTTCGCTTTCCTTTATCTTTGTTGCTGGTTCCTTTGCTTGGCTTACTCTTCTGCTCTGCACATGGAGACGTCAGTGAACTTCTACACACTTTTAAGGCCCAGAAGGCTGTACTTTTCATGTTCGCCGCTGTGAGAACCTCAAATCCGAAAAAAAAAAATGTTGGTTGGTAAATTGAAAATGTAAGTTTGATAAATAATTAGTTAAATTTCCATGTCAAGAGACGAGTAGAGAAACCCAGTACTTATGTGAAGTGCTCTAGTTCAAATATTTTGGAAAGACATTAAGAAATAAAAGTTTAATTCATGAGGAAATTAAGAGCAGATTAAATCACTGCCATTAATTTTAGAATATTTTGTTTTTGAGACAGTTACATAAAAATATAACAATGAAAATTAAAAAATGTGTAATTTGGCCTATCGTTCCGTAGAGGTGTGCAACTTTGTCCTAACATTAACGCTGCGAAGCACAGTGGTTGCTATATTTACCACTTGGTCTAGCATGTAAAGCTCTGCCTTCTGTCCCCAGTGTATCTGTGTGTTCCTTATATTTCTCGCAATAAACAGCGACTGTTTCCCTAAACAGCATTAACCGGTTGGGCTTTGTAGCGGATACATAATGTGTTTCCTGTGAGGTACGAACTGGATTCTAATACCTCCACCGTAGCACTGCGAGTTATAGGAAGCAATGAAACTGGAACCCAGTGCCTGGGGTATAAGTGGTCCACCCTGTTCCTGGGATATATAAATAAAGGGAACTGGTCCTCCAGGTTGTGGGAGTCTCGAACCTGAGACAGTAAAATATGGTCATGAGTCCCGCGAGACTCGGACCCGAGAATTACTGCGCTGGCGAGGACCAGCAACAATTGTAAACGACAGACCCATCCTCTTGTCAGAGAGGGCCTTGGCCCCCAGATGAGTGCTTTATACCAAGAAAGACTGGCCGACTTACCGTCGGTTGTAATATAATTGTGACTGTGACTTTGACTTTGACTTGTTCAGGGGAGATTCATCCTTTAAAGGACTTATGGAAGGAGGAAGATTGAGGAATGCGCGATACAGCTGAAGTAAGGGACAAGAAGAATGCTTCACAAAGAAGAGTTTTATAATTTGTAATCTACACTAGATATTATTAGGTTGAACAAAAGGAGGACGAAACTGGCAGGGCATTTAGTGTCGATTAGTCGTCTTCAGTCTCAAGTGTAACACAAGATACAGCACAGCATAACACACGCATGCGCATCGAGAGGCTTGTATATTAACAACATACGCAACAACAGAAGACAGCTTTTCCTTGACCAATAATTTTAAGACCTGATGATGACCACATGGTGGTCTAGTGATCAGAGTTCCTGGCTACAGATCCAGATGTCCCGGGTTCGATTCCCGGCGCTATAAGATTTTTCTGAGAAGTAGTGGGTCTGGAACGGGATCCACTCAGCCTCGTGAGGATAACTGAGGAGCTACGTGAATGGAAAAGTAGGGCCTTGGGTCTAGAAAACCGAGATTAACGGCCGTGGGGTTTCGTTGCGCTGACCACGCGACACCCTCTATCGGCTAAGGTTGGCACTAACTTCGTCGGCAAGCGGCGGTCGCACGGTCGGTATAGATCACTTGCGGACTAAGGCCACGGAGTTTGTTTTTGATGACCACATTAGTCGAAACATGTAGTGATTGACTTTTAAACTTTTAATAAATTTCATAGAACATAGTGTTACACATAAGACTGTGCAAAGTACAACAGGATGCTACAATGTAATAATGGAAGGGCATGTAGAAGGCATGAGAGAGATGGGATGGGAAAAAAAATAGTTAAGCTATCCCTGTGACAGGCCGCGGAGGCACATAGGGTTGGGAGGAGTCGAGGCTCCCGCATTTTCTAAAAATGCGTTCAGAGATGGCGCTAAGGTTATCAGCCTTAAGCGCCGACCGCGCTTTACTCCCCAGGATGATATAAAATATTAACAGGAAACTCTGAATCGAAGAGACCACTCTAAAACGCAGCTGTAGAACAGAAAATTAAAAGACTCTTAGTGAATTAGGGCGGAAATTTTGGGCTGATGCGGGACAGGGACAAGTGGCCGAATATTTCTTTAAAGTTGGTTATTTAACGACGCTGGTAATATCGAGGCTATATAGCGTTGATGACAAGATGAATAATGAAGGTGGGTCTCTTTGGTGAAATGAGATTTTCCGGCGGAAACCTGTCCCAGTGCCATTTTGTCCACCACAACTCCCACATGACTTGCTCTGAGACTGAACCCTGGCGCCGTGTTTTGAGAGTGGTGATGAACAGTCTGATTTCATAAAAAGCGGAGAAGCAATTGACAGTCTGACTGACAATTTGCTCCTGGAAAGGAACTCTGCTTTATGGAAATATTTAGTTTAGTTAAGGCAGAATTTGGTGGAAAAGAAATCTGAAGGTAAGAGATGAGATAAAGTTGTCCTTGTGCTTAATTAAATCAGCACCAGATCATAAAGACGTATGGGGGATTAAGTGAATGGTCAGCTTCACGCCCCGGCCACTTTATCTCCGGGAGAAAGCCCCCAGTATCCATTGGACTGGAGACTGGGTGTGCCCCAGAGTTTGCCTGAGCACTGGAGAAGATAAAATCTTGTTCCTTTAGGGAATCGAACCCCGGTCATCTAGCAATAGCCTGTCGAAAGGTAAGAGAAGGTTTGGAAACTAGGGCATTTATGGAAAAATAATATAAAACCGGATTCTAGAGAAACAGGATGTGAATAGGTGGGTTGGGTGGGTCTAGACTAGGGTAGCATACAATTGCAAATTCTTATAAATAAGTACTCTTTCGGGTACTTAATTCTTTAAAGCAGATTAAACAGCTCTCCACTCGGCCCACGCAGTGTGTCTGTCGATTTCTCGTAATCTTCGGAACAGACTACAATTATTTCCCTAAACGGCATTATTGATTGTTCTTTGTAAGGGAGCTACAGCGCTGGTCACAGTGGCCGCCCGGTCTAAGGCATGAACTGTCTTCGCTCGCTCGGACGCTGGGGTCGAGGGTTCGAATCTCACTCGAAGCATGAATGCTTGGTATGTGTATGTGTTTGTGTTGTCCTGTGTTATGGTAGAGGCCTTACGACGAGCTAATTACCCGTCCAAGGAGTCCTACAGTCTGTAAAATGATAACGGAAGTGAATAAAAGTCCAGGGCCCGGAATGGAAAGGAATTGCCATTGGAAAAAAAAAATAGACATGCAGCACAGGAAACTGAATATTTAATTATTATTTCCCACCGCGGCGGCCCGGGTTCGATCTGGTCAAGTGGGATTTGTGGTGGACAAAGTGGCACTGGGGCAGGTTTTCTCCGAGTACTTCGGTTTCCCCTGTCAATCTTCATTCCACCAATTGCTCCACAATCACCCTCACCTATCATCTGGGGCTGGTACAATAGGCTAGAAGTGGCCGCAGTACAAGGGACTTAGTCCCACCCCACTAGCAATAAAAGAAGTTACACGAGTTCCAGGTTTCAAAATTTCAAAAACAATTGAGAAAATTCTTTAAGAAGATCGGTCTTCTGAGATATAAAGCCATATTATCGTTGAAGGTAAACCAATATTTCGGAGGAACATATCGACTCCATCCTCAGTGTCGAAAAATAATCCAAGCAACACATCATGAACCTAACTCCCAGAAGATAGATCTCTTCATAACCACCGATGTCAGAATATCAAACCTTACAAGATAATTATACGGATAATTTAATATCTGTCAAGTTCAGACATATCCTTACCATTCATTTGAGATATTATGAAGAATGGTATCTTTTGCGATGCGATGACGTCTAGCCATGTAGAAGTTAACCGACGTTTCGAAGGAACCTGCAGCCTAAATCTTCGTGTCGAAGGGTAAGCCAAGCAAGAAGCAAAGCTCGAACGGGTTTCTTGGAGCTTTCACGATCTTTCCCGAACGCTCATTGGGTTTAATCTTCGACCATGAATATTTAGGCAGTACGTTCCTCCGAAACATCGGTGAACTTCTATCGCGCTATGCTGCCTCACACCCTGGAGAATAGTCACTTCTG